TCTGGGAAATTCCAGATAATGAGTACGATGGTGTCTGCTGTGGGGTCCTTCGTGAATAGAGACACCACATGCAAGCTGGTCCTTTTGTCATTGGTGTGGAGTTTGAGGTAGCGGATTTTTTTTTCCTGTGAAGTTGGTTGAGGCCTTACTGTAGTGTGTAGTGAGCCCAATACGGGTTTGTAGTTGTGCGGCCAGAAATTTTGCCAAAATGTATCTGGGGGATCCAGTGGCGCTCACGATGAGTCTGACCGGAGTGGAGTTCTTGTGGATTTTTGGAAGTCCAAAAGCCTAGATGGGAGGGCTTCCGATTTGTGTAGATATTTGTATCATTGCAATTGGTTGGCCAAAGTGCTCATTCTAATTCCATGAAGTCACTTGCTCTGCTGTTAAGATCAATGGAGGAATTCTTGTTCAAAGTGTTTGTTTTTCCTGCCGATTTTGTTGGTTGGTTCCTGAAGATGCCAGCCACAGATGCAGGCAAAATGTTAGGAGAGAATGCTGCTGGAACATGGCCATAAAGCGGGGTTGTTGTGGGTTTTTTGGGCTGTATGGCCATGTTCTATGTAGAAGCATTCTCTCCTGATGTTTTGCCTGCATCTGTGCCAGGCATCCTCAGAGGTTGGACATAAAGCCTTTGACGATATATGGGGCTCTTGTATCTGTATTGTTGCCTTTTCTATTTTTGCAGCTGTACTCATTACTTTCCTTTCAATTTGCTGGATTCAACTTAGAAAAATTCATAAGATTTAATCAGTCAGTCAAAATAAAGCTAAGGTGCTACTCCCTCTGCCTCCCAGGTGGAGAACTTTGGCCTTTGGATACCCGCCCTGCCTTCCTTATTTTCTCCTTCCTTTCCTTCCCTTTCCTTCCCTCCCCTCCCCTCCCCTCCCCCAAATAGCTTTCCCCCTTTCATTTCCCTTCCTTCCACCCTTTTACTTCCTCCTCACTCACTTCTCCTTTCTTTCCCTTCTTTTTCTCCTTCCTTCCTTCTCCTCTTTCCTTCTTCTCATACACACGTCACCTTTTTTCCCAGTGACATCACCTGGCAACAGCCTTTGTGTCACAAAAGGACACAATATATGCATACATATTTTAATGTTTATATCTGTAAATATATGCTAGTTTTTTTGCCCCATGTACAAAGAAACCTACTACCTGCTTTCCACCAATTGCCACTGCAAGAAGCCGACTGTTAAATTATCTTAGAAAGGGGTGGTCCTAGTAGGGGACCGCCAAAAAGGCTCCTTTCCCCCATTGCTATGGGAGTTCTGGCCCGCAGCATTTGGGTCAAAGGGACAAAAACCAGATCCCCCGGTTTCCTATTGACTTATGAGATTTGTAAGGTTTGTCTTAGGCTAGAAGTGATCTGGGACGCCTTGGTGGCATCCCATCCAAGTCTGAACCAGAGCTGGCCCTGCTTAGACAGGATCTGTTGCCTTTAGGGAACTGAGACCAAGTAGCCAGAATATATTTTTGTTACTGTTATAGTTATTGTGGTTATTATTATTAGTAGTGCCAAAAGAGGTAGTGGTGATGCCATTATGAGGAGCAGCTTAAAGAGCTGGGTATGTTTAGCCTGCAGAAGAGAAGACTGAGAGGAGACATGATGAGGGCCATGTATAAATATGTGAGGGGAAGTCATAGGGAGGAGGGAACAAGCTTGTTTTCTGCTGACCTGGAGACTAGGATGCGAAGCAATGGTTTCAAACTACAGGAAAGGAGATTCCACCTGAATATTAGGAAGAACTTCCTCATTGTAAGAGCTGTTCTTATTTCTCTGCCCTGGAGTGTGGTGGAGGCTCCTTCTTTGGAGACTTTTAAACAGAGGCTGGATGGTCATCTGTCGGGAGTGTTTTGAATGTGATTTCCTGCTTCTTGGCAGGGGAGTTGGACTGGATGGCCCATCTCAATGAGTCTATGATTCTATGATACCAAAGAGAGGGGGGGACTAAGTTTACCAGACCTAAAAACATACTAAGAAGGCACCTGCATGAGCTGGATCAGAGACTGGATACGATTCAAGAATACAAACCTACATAATTTAGAAGGACACGGAACAAGATATGGGTGGCATGCATATCTGTGGTACAAACGAGAGAGATTAAATAAGGCTTCTAATAAACATATAATTAGAAGAAGCCTAATAGATATCTGGAACAGGTGGAAGTTAGGTATGGAAACAAGAACACCCCTGTGAGTGAGACCAAGAGGCGCTCTTGCGAGACCCACCTCTAAGGATGATGCCAGAACATACGGGGAATTCCTCATCAGGATGTTGAGGGGGAAAGATGAACTGGGCATCAAAAGACTGGTTCCATGATGACCCTTTATAAAAAATATTCAAAAAGGGGGTTTGCCCTCAAAAAATCTGAACTGAAAATTATACTAGATAAAAGGAGGAAAGTCTGATAGCCAGATAGTCCAAATACATCCTATGTTACAACTTGGAAGATAGTTGTGTAAAAACCTCCATACTTTTATAGGCAAAAGATCTAGGGAGAAGTATAGATATCGATATTTAGGAAAACCTATAGAACAAAGCATTCAGATTTACAGTGGCGATTTCAATTAGGGACAACTTATATAAGATGTTCTGGAGATGTTATATATCTCCAGCTCTCCTGGCCAAAATAGATAACTCATAATCAGGATCCTGTTGGAGGTGCAAAATTAAGAAAGGGACCTTTTTTTCCATGTGTGGTGGTCTTGTGAATTGGTACAGGTTTACTGGAGAATAATAAAGGAAAAAAACAAAATGTTCCACAACAAAGTAAAAGAAAAAACACGGATGTGTCTATTATGAATATTCAGAGATATTTTAGAGCAGCCAGAATGAGAAATCTGTCTGTACAGCTTCATGGCTACACGCATTACAATTGCCAGGGATTGGAATAGTGAAAAAAATATTAAGCATTAAAAATTGGAAGGATTAATTGTGGGATTATGCACAGATGGATAAAATTTCTACCAATTTGAAATATGAAAATCATTATTTTTTTGAAAGAAACTGGAAGCTGGCCTTGGCATACTTGACAGGAAGATCTTAAGAAATAAAAACAAGAGGAATTCATTGAGCTAGAAATACAGAGGGTTGAATAAAATGTGTACAAACTCCACGAGGTTCAGTGACAGAAGTTAAAGTGGTGGGTAGGTTGTGGGGTTACTGTACTGTGGGTGGTGGGTTGTCTTTGTATGTGTATGTATATGTGTCTTTAAAAAATACAATGCTAGATAATATCTATCTACATAAATGCCCCCTCTTTCCTCCTTCAAAAAGCTTTTAAAAACCTATCTATGCAATCTATCTTATGGAGAGGCAGAGGATTAATATCGTTTTACATGTATCCTCGCGTTGATCTACCTCAGTCCGCTGGACATGGTATACTATTTTATTTTAATGTATTACGTTTAATTTTATGACTCCTTGTGTTACATTATGTTTACTTAATTTAATTCTCGGCTAATTTTTGATACACAGATGACACCACTTTGATGGCTGAAAGCGAGGAGGAGTTGAGGAGCCTTCTAATCAAGGTGAAAGAAGAAAGCGCAAAAGCTGGGTTGCAGCTAAACATAAACAAAAAAAACCCCAAGGTTATGGCAACAAGAATGATTGACAACTGGGAAATAGAGGGAGAAAACGTGGAGGCAGTGACAGACTTTGTATTTCTAGGTGCAAAGATTACTGCAGATGCAGACTGTGGCCAGGAAATCAGGAGACGCTTATTTTTTGGGAAGAGAGTAATGACCAATCTCAATAAAATAGTAAAGAGTAGAGACATCACATTGACAACAAGATCCACATAATCAAAACAATGGTATTCCCTGTAGTCACCTACGGATGTGAGAGCTGGACCTCAGGGAGGGCTGAGCGAAAGAAGATGCTTTTGAACTGTGGTGTTGGAGGAAAGTTCTGAGAGTGGCTTGGACTGCGAGAAGATCCAACCAGTCCATACTTCAGGAAATAAAGCCAGACTGCTCATTGGAGGGAAGGATAGTAGAGGCCAAGATGAAGTACTTTGGCCACATCATGAGGAGACAGGGAAGCTTAGAGAAGACAATTATGCTGGGGGAAATGGAAGGAAAAAGGAAGAGGGGCCGACCAAGGGCAAGATGGATGGATGGTATCCTTGAAGTGACTGGATTAACCTTGAAGGATCTGGGGGTGGCCATGGCGACAGGGAACTCTGGCGTGGGCTGGTCCATGAGGTCACGAAGAGTTGGAAACGACTAAACAAATGAACAACAACAACAACCATTTTTGATTGGTTTTATAAGTTATATTTGTCAGAGTGTGACAGAAGCTTTGAAGCTTGGAAGAATGGACACTTTGAGACTTCAGTAAAAGCAAACGTTTAGCTTTACTGAGTAGATCAAATATACAGCATACATCAGCATTTGCATCCAACCAGACAGACAGGAACAAGACAAAAGACACACTCACTGAAGTAAGAAGGACTTATCTCTGGATCCTCCCTACGCGCTCAAGGCAAAGCTCAGGGTCACATCTTCACAGCTCATTTAAGGATTGACTGTTTAACTCTTTCAGTGTCAAAATACTCTCTGGTAATGCAATCCAGTTACATTCAGAGGCATTGCACAAAATTACATTTAAACATTCACAATACATTAATCTTACACTGACAATATCGAGATCATTTTATTCTTTGTTTATGTCTTTATTTCTATGTGGCTGTTCTTGACTTTGAATATTTGCCATTTTTGTTATTTCCTGGAAACTACCCTGAGTTCCTTCAGGGAGAGAGGGTGGGTAATAAATAAACATTATTATTATTATATTTATACCCTGCTTTATCTTGCCAAAGGGATATCCATTAGGAGTCCCCCTTCCTTCCTTCATTCATTCATTCTTTTAATTCTCCATACTTTCCTTTCCTTTTTTCTTTCTGGATTCTTTCCCTTCTTGTTTAAGAATCAGTGATTGCCTTTGTTGGCATCTGTGTATATGCTTGAGACCCCGATGTCTGAATTTTTGGTATTCCCATTTTCTACGTGACCCATGAAGGGAAGGCGGGAAATTTGCAGGTAAAGAAGACTTCTGGCTTTCATCATTGATCTTTTGCTTGTTTCTTGACCAGGGAAATGAGGATTCTATGGAGCCAATTCTTCGGTGCAGTAAGGAAACAATTAATATAGGAAGAAGGAAGAAATAATCTCAAGGTGATGCTCTTGCCGATTGTTGACTTCACTTAAAGATAAGAGAGGGGGAAAGTAGCACCAAGTATCAGTATTGCAATTCAATACCCATATGACTGACATGGAGGAGAAAGAATTTACATGCCTGGAGTGTGGAAAGAGCTTCACTCGTAATTCAGGTCTACGTGTGCATCAAAGGACTCACACTGGGGAGAAACCCTATAAATGCTTGGAGTGTGGAAAGAGCTTCACTGAGAGTGGACATCTATGTAGACATCAAAGAATTCACACTGGGGAGAAACCCTATAAATGCGTAGAGTGTGGACAGAGTTTCTCTCGTAAATCAGGTCTACGTTTGCATGAAAGGACTCATACTGGGGAGAAACCCTATGCATGCTTGGAGTGTGGACAGAGCTTCACTGAGAGTGGACATCTACGTAGTCATCAAAGAATTCACACTGGGGAGAAACCCTATGCATGTCTGGAGTGTGGACAGAGCTTCACACATAATTCAGGTCTACGTGTGCATCAAAGGTCTCACACTGGGGAGAAACCCTATAAATGCCTGGAGTGTGGAAAGAGCTTCACTGAGAGTGGACATCTACATACACATCATAGGACTCATACTGGGGAGAAACCCTATGCATGCCTGGAGTGTGGACAGAGCTTCAGTGAGAATGGAAGTCTACGTGTGCATCGAAGGACTCACATTGGGGAGAAACCCTATGCATGTCTGGAGTGTGGAAAGAGCTTCGCTGAGAGTGGACATCTACGGAGACATCAGAGAATTCACACTGGGGAGAAACCCTATGCATGCTTGGAGTGTGGACAGAGCTTCACTGAGAGTGGACATCTACGTAGACATCAAAGAATTCACACTGGGGAGAGACCCTATAAATGCCTGGAGTGTGCAAAGAGCTTCACTGAGAGTGGACATCTACGTAAACATCAAAGGACTCATACTGGAGAGAAACCCTATACATGCCTGGAGTGTGGACAGAGCTTCAGTGAGAAAGGAAGTCTACGTGTGCATCAAAGGATTCACACTGGGGAGAAACCCTATGCATGCCTGGAGTGTGGAAAACGCTTCGCTCATAATTCAGGTCTACGTGTGCATCAAAGGACTCACACTGGGGAGAAACCCTATAAATGCCAGGATTGTGGACAGAGCTTCAGTAAGAATGAAAGTCTACGTTTGCACCAGAAGACTCACACTGGGGAGAACCCCTATGCATGCTTGGAGTGTGGTAAGAGATTCTCTCATAATTCAAGTCTACGTTTGCATCAAAGGACTCATCCTGGGAAGAAACCCCATGCATGCTTGGAGTGTGGAAAGAACTTCACTGGTAATTCAGGTCTACGTGTGCATCAAAGGACTCACACTGGGGAGAAACCCTATAAATGCTTAGAGTGTGGACAGAGCTTCACTGAGAGTGGACATCTACGCAGACATCAAAGAATTCACAGTGGGGAGAAACCCTATGCATGCCTGGAGTGTGGACAGAGCTTCACTCGTAATTCAGGTCTACGTATGCATCAAAGGACTCACATTGGGTAGAAACCCTATAAATGCTTGGGGTGTGGTAAGAGATTTTCTCATAATTCAAGTCTACGTTTGCATCAAAGGACTCACATTGGGGAGAAAGCTTATACATGCCTGGAGTGAGGGAAGGGTTTCTCTGAGAATTGACTTCTACATTCACATAAAATTACTCACTCCGGAGTGTAGAAAGACCTTCACTCATAATTCAGGTCTACATTTGCACCAAAAGACTCTCACTGAGGAGAAACCCTAATAATGCCTGGAGTGGATACAGCTTCACTCGTAATTCAAGTTGACTTTTGCATCAAAGGACTCATACTGGGGAGAAACCCTATGCATGCCTAGAGGGTGGAAAGAGGTTCATTCATAATTCAAGTCTATTTTTGCATCAAAGGATCTACACTGGGAGAAACCCTATGCTTCTAACACACCTCCCCTTGTGACTCAAGGCAGGTTACAGCAGAATTAAAACACACTGTAAACGCTATAAAAAATCCATAAAATACAAATACTAAACTGTATTTCTGTAAAAGGGTCTACAAAATGCATATTAAAATGCACAGAACAGAGATCAAAACATAAGACAGAGTTTGAAACCTGTGCTGAAAACGGGATGGGAAGCTGAATACAGGCTCTGCAAGGAGACTCCAGAAGGGCCTGGGCCACTCTCTCCCTCTCAAGGCATGGCCTCCAGGGAGGAAATCCCTCAGGAAAGGAGGCCACGGCTGAGGAAAAGGCCTCTCTCTCTTTGCTTCCTCCCGAAATGAGTCCCAGATTCCTTCCTTCGTTTTTTCCTCGCAGAAATGGCGGCTACGAAGGGGGGCGGGCCCTGGGTGACGGTGGCACCTCTATGACATGAAGGGAGCAGGGCCATGGGGATTACAAAAGGGGAGGGGTTTGTCCGACTGGATGGCCTTTGGGACTCCCTCCCGGGCTTCTGCCAGCCTCCAGAAGAGCCATCGTAACACCAAGGGGTCCCCTTGAGGCCCCTGCTCTTTCCTGGCTGGCCTGGGAGGCTGAGCAGGGCCAACCCTGGGGGGGGGGGACGGGGGGAGGCCCCCGGGGGCCCAAGAGAAAAGCCCTTTTGCTCCCAGCCAAGGAAGGAGGGAAGGATGGCTCTCCAGGTTGTAAGCCGCCCTGAGTCCCCCCTTGGGGGTTGAGAAGGGCGGGATAGAAGTGCCCGAAATAAATAAATGAATAAACACTCTCCAATCAGAAACAGAAGCAGGTTCTCATTCTCTTACTTATTATTCTATGTCTTCCCGGTCTCTAATTGGATTGTATATTCCAGCATGGCAAGAAGGAGCGGGGGGGGGGGGGGGGCAGTACTAGATGATATTTCAGGTCCCTTCCAAACCTAATATAGACTTCCCGGGAGTCTGGTGGAGTGAGTCTCCTTCTCTAGAGGTCTCTGAAACAGAGGCTGACTGGCTATTTGATGGGCAGGCTTGGATTGTATGTCTTGCTGCATGACAAGAAGGGGGAGGAGGTCAGACTAGATGACCTTTGAGATCCCTTCCGAATGGAATATAGACTTCAATTGAGTTTGGTGGAGTCTCCATCTCTAGAGGTCTTTAAATCAAAGGCTGGATGGCCATCTGTTGGGGAGACTTGGATTGTATATATTCCTGCCTAGCAAAAAGGGCCAGACTAGATGCCCTTTGAGGTCCCTTCCAAGTCTCATAGAATTTCTGGCAGTTTGGTGGAGTCTCCATCTCTAGAGTTCTGTGAAAGAGAGGCTGGATGACCATCTACTGGCCAGGCTTGGATTATGTACTTTCCTCCCTGGCAGAAGGGGTCAGACTAGATGGCCTTTGGGAGGAGGTCTCTCTTGCCTCCAGGATTCTGCCCTACTCCCATGGGTCCCTATTGCATTTTCTTCCCTCTCCCTCCTTTCTTGGAGCCACTCATACTTTGTGACGCCTTGGCAGCTGCTCAGGGGTGTTTCAGGGGTGCCAGTTTCCAACAGCCCTACATCTCCCAGAGGAAAGTGATTGGCACCTGGAGCTGCAGCTCATCCTTCCCTGGTCACTCTGCTGGTGTCTGCTGCTGCTGTTTCCATTGTGACACATTCCCCTGACATTTAAGGGATCACAGGAGGAGGAGGAAGAGGAAGGAGGCCCCTACCAAGAGGTGTCATGGCTGACCTTCCCTGTCCCTCTTTTCTTGGAGCCACTCATACTTTGCAAGAGGAGGGGAAATCAGACTAGATCACCTTTGAAATCCCTTCCAAATGTAATATAGACTTCTTTGGTGGAGACTCCATCTCTAGAGCTCTTTAAATTAAAAACTGGGCGGTCAACTGTTGGGTAACACATTTTTTGTTCCTGGAGTCTACATCTGTGGAGCTCTTTAAATGGGATGGCCAGCTTTTGGGCAGACTTGAATTGTGCCTTCCTGCCTAGCAGAAGGGGCCAGACTAAATGAGGTCCCTTCCAAATCCCATATAGACTTTCTAAGAGTCTGGTGGAGTCTCCTTCTCTAGAGTTCTGTGAAACAGAGGCTGAATGACCAGGTTTGGATTGTGTGCTTTCCTCCCTGGCAGAAGGGGTCAGACTAGATGGCCTTTGGGGGGTAGTCTCCCCCGCCTCCAGGATTCTATGCTTCTCCCGTGGGTCCCTATTGCCTTTTCTTCCCTCTCCCTTTTCCTCCTGTCTTGGAGCCACTCATACTTTGCAAGAGGGGGGGGGGGGGTCAGACTAGATCACCTTTGAGATCCCTTCCAAATGTAATATAGGCAACAGCCCTACATCTCCCAGGGGTAAGGACTTGGCACTTGGAGCTGAATGCTCATCCATCCATAGTTACTTGGCTGTTGTCTGCTGCTGCTGCGTCCATTGTGACACGTTCTCCTGACATTTGAGGGATACTGAGGAGGAGGAGGAGGAGGAGGAGGAGGGAGGGAGGGAGGGAGGGGGCACCTACCGAGAGACTGGCATCTTCAGGGCTGACCTTCCCTGCTGAGACCCTGCTAGGCGCTGTGTGTGTCATATTTACTCAAGTCTAATGTGCCGTAGAATGTAATGAATGTAATGCCCAGCGCCATAACGCACCCTCTTTTTGTCACTTGGCCATTGCAGTCGCTGCCTGCTGAGACTCCCTTCTTTCAGCACAATAGTGTTGCAGCACCAAAGCTTCCAGTATTGGAAATTCCATAACCTATTGGAAATAAATGACCTTATCGAAAAGGTAAACACAATGTCACATCCGTTTGACAAATGTGAATCTCCCTGAACATGTGGAGACCACTTTTTGAAAACCACTGGTCAAGAAAAGCATGACCTTGTTAGAAGTCAATTCTTTGAACAAGTGATATTCATAAGCATTCATGTAATGGCACACGGGTAACTCAGCTGTTAAACTGAAGAACCAGGTCTTTAAACTGCCAAGGATAAAGACAGGCCACTACAAAAATAGATTTGGATAGCAGAGGATGGTTGGGAATTTTTTTGAAGTAGAATTTGCAGTTGCCCAAAAGATATTCACTCCCTTAAAATCTTTTAGTTAAAATATGAATTCAGAGATTGAAAAAACAAAGTAGTCTTCTTTAAAAATGACATCTCAGATTTACTAACAAGCTTCTTGTATATGTTCAGCATACTAGTTCATAGCCCAATGTCTTTAAGTATAGCTGTACTCACTGAAGTCCATAAGTCATGCTTCTCTACTAAAGTGTAAACAGCCACATGTGCCCACCTCCCCTGAGGTCTGATGCAAAACTGTATGCAAAATGGAGTCCTGTGTCTGAAGCCCCTCCCACACCGAAGAGATACAGTCAAACCAGCAAACTAAAATGTACATACAATATAGGTTAACAATTATGCATATTTACAGTTAGTGGAGGTTGCTATTTCCAACATCCAGTGAGGGAAAGGAAAACCCTAAACTGGAGCAGAACAACAGGCTGGTTTGGCATCATCTTCAGAAGAGGTTTTTCAAATTTTGTTACCTAGTGTTAAAATACTTTCATTATAGTAATTCCATAAGTTAATGCAAACACCCCAATTATAATTCTTTGATTGGTTTATAATGCTTTTGAATTAACTTGGGTGGGGAGAATAGCGGTGATAAAAATGATGATCTTACTCAAAATGCTGTTTTTACTCCAAAATCTACCAATATTTAAAGGAGGGAGAGTTTTGAAACATTGGAGGAAGGATTTGACTAACTTTATATGGAATGGAAAAAAAACCCTAGCATTGCTTACAAAAACCTAATAGATGCCAAAGAGAGGGGGAGGCTTAGCGCTGCCAAACATTAAGTATTAATACAAAGTGCTAGGCTTCAGCTGCCTAAAGAAAGGGGTAAGATTAGAAAATTGAGCTTTACTCAATCTAGAGCAGTGGTTCTCAACCTTTTTAATGCCGTGACCCCTAATACTGTTCATGTTGTGGGGACCTCAACCATATTTTTGTTGCTACGTAATTATGAATTGTAATGTAAATATCTGATATGCAGGATGTATTTTCATTGTTACAAATTGAACATAATTAAAGCATAGTGATTAATGATAAAAACAATATGTTTGGGGGAGTATGGACAATGGATGAAGGGATTTGAAGTAACTTCAACTAATTCAGCTCTGGCTTCCACAGCCCAATGAGTCTGTGACGATGACAAAGATACAGAATGGGGGACAATGGCTGGCTCGAGAGCAGTACGTGTGAAAAAGATCTTGGAGTCCTCGTGGACAACAAGTTAAACATGAGCCAACAATGTGATGTGGCGGCAAAAAAGCCAATGGGATTTTGGCCTGCATCAATAGGAGCATAGTGTCTAGATCTAGGGAAGTAATGCTACCCCTCTATTCTGCCTTGGTTAGACCACATCTGGAATATTGTGTCCCAATTCTGGGCACCACAATTCAAGAGAGATATTGACAAGCTGGAATGTGTCCAGAGGAGGGCGACTAAAATGATCAAGGGTCTGGAGAACAAGCCCTATGAGGAGCGGCTTAGGACTGGGCATGTTTAGCCTGAAGAAGAGAAGGCTGAGAGGAGATATGATAGCCATGTATAAATATGTGAGAGGAAGCCACAGGGAGGAGGGAGCAATCTTGTTTTCTGCTTCCTTGGAGACTAGGACGCGGAACAATGGCTTCAAACTACAAGAGAGGAGATTCCATCTGAACATTAGGAAGAACTTCCTGACTGTGAGAGCCATTCAGCAGTGGAACTCTCTGCCCCGGAGTGTGGTGGAGGCTCCTTCTTTGGAAGCTTTTAAGCAGAGGCTGGATGGCCATCTGTCAGGAGTGATTTGAATGCAATATTCCTGCTTCTTGGCAGGGGGTTGGACTGGATGGCCCAGGAGGTCTCTTCCAACTCTTTGATTCTATGATTCTATGATGTGTACTTTTATTCCTATAGTTATGTGTTGTTTAGACAATAGTTAATAATGGTAAGTATGTAGAATTATATTTTGTTAGAGATGGTGGCTGGCTTGGCTTGCCTTTAGCTGAGTTGCCATAGCAACGGGGGTGGAGCCAACTGCCACTTAACAGCACAGCTGTTTGAAAGTGGGCAGTCTGTAAGCCGGTGAGCTACAGAGAGGACTGGTTGTGTAGTGGGAGAATCAGGGAACTAGTCTGTGGCCAGGGAACCACAGAAGTTGATCCTGTGTGGGTGTGGAAATCCAGCAGGAATACTGTAGTGGTAGAATTACAGGGACGACTGATTCCTTGGTTAAGAATCAGGGTTTGGCTTGGAGCCAATACAGTTAAATAAGTCAGGTGGCTTATTTGTAATAAAAGAACGCTTGTTAAAGAAACATCTTCCTAAAGAAACCTTTTGAAGTCTGTTTAGTACCTAAAGTTATTCAAAAAACCTTATCAATGTAACCAACTAAGTTTGTGCCTCTAGAGAAGTAACATTGAATCTGTTATACTCCTGTTAAATAAATTTGTTACTGTTTTCCTCAAGCCTTGCCTGATACAGTTTCTTCTAAGACAAACAGCCCTGCATAAGAAGTAAGACCAAATCAGGGACATTAAACGCTACGCTATTGAATAAGTAAACCCTTTTTAATTAGTGGTCCCTTTGTAAAACAGCTCCTAAGTTGATATTGATAATTACTGGGCTTCCTCACAGAGAACCTCACAAATTACAGACCTGGACCAAACTTGGCACACAGAATTCCCATGACGAAGAGAAAATGCTGGAGGGGGTTGGGAGGAATTGACAGTAATTTAGGGGAGATGCAGTTCGCCTTCATCCAGGGAGCACTGTGATCCCAAACGACTATGGATCTGGACCAAACTTGGCACAAATACTCAAAATGCCCAAATTTGAATACTGGTGGAGTTTGGGGGAAAAAGACCCTGACACTTGGGAATGGCAGTTGTGTGGATATATAGTTCACCAGGCATCGAAGAGCATTCTGTGCTCCACCAACAATAGAATTGAACCAAACTTGCCATATAGGACTTCCATGACCAACAGAAAATGCTGGGGGGATTTGGGGAAAATAGACCCTGACACTTGGGAATTGCAGTTGTGTGGATTTATAGTTCACCAGGCATCAAAGAGCATTCCGAGCTCCACCAACAATTGACTATAGGACTTCCATGATCAACAGAAAATATTGGAGGAGTTTGGGGGAGGTATGTACAATAGATTACATTTGCAGTACCTTCAATCGCTTCAGTTCCCGAAGAGGCCTCCTTGCCGCCATTGGCAAGTGTGTGGGGAAAGAGGTGCGATGCAGGGATCGTGTGCCCTGTACCAGCCCTCTTCTCCTGCGCACTTGCCAATTACGAGGGAGGGACACACTCTGGCGTTGTCAAGCGCGCAGGGGAAGAGGGCTGGGAACGCAACACCCAGGGGCCAATGGGAGCACGGCCCCTGGATATGTGCTCCCAGTCCTCTTCCCCGTGTGTTTGCCAACGCTGAATGAGGGACACGCTCCGGCATTGGAAAGTGTGTGCGGGAAGAGGCCTTGTGTAGGGAGCATGCACCCAGGGGCTGGTGGAAGGAGCACAGCCCCTTTGTGCTTGCTCCCAGGACCTCTTCCCCCACATGCTTGCCAACGTCCCTCCCCCAGTAGCTTTTCTGAAGGCCCCAGTGTCTCTTTGGTGCGCTGTTGAGGGTGCATGGAGCCTGCAGGAGGAGGCGGGGTCTAATGAGACCATGCCACAACCCCTCCAGAATAACCTAACGACCCCTCCGGGGGTCGCAACCCCCAGGTTGAGAACCGCTGACCTAGAGAGATATGACCTAAGATTTGGCTGGCATGTGTATTTAATTGAATGGAAAAGATGGAATTAATAAAGTTTTCCATACACATTTCATAAGAAAAAGTCTATTAGCAATTTGAAAAAGATATAAGGTGGGAATGGAAAAAAAAAACCATTATGAATATGATCCCTGGAAGCAAGGTTATACATACATTATGTGTATTGGATTATCTTTATTTACAGTATTTATATTCTGCCCTTCTCATCCCAAAGGGCACTCAGGGTGGATCACAATGCACACATACATGGCAAACATCCAATGCCAATTTTGACATACAAGAAATACACATAGATACAGGCCATTCAACAGTTCTTCCACTTTGGATTCTGGAGGTTGCTGGAGGATGAAAGAAATGTTTTTCTTTCTCATATTCTGTATGGAATTAATTCACTTAATAAAAACTTATTCAAAATGAAAAGACAACACTGTCCAAAATAACTTGATGTATTAAACCCCAGTTGTATCTTATCTGCCTTTCCAGTCTCTGATATTTTGACCCTTCTAAATTCCCTTTTCGCAAACACATTTTTAATTAGGAAAAAGAAACACAGTAATATATATATGCTCAAATTATACAGCTCACTGAGTGGCCACCACAAAAACTACAAAAATAAAATTTAAAAAACAGACCAATAAAAACACCTAGCTAGACACACAAAGTATTCTAACAAACAAATCAACAAACAGACTTGGGTTTAGTTGTAAGAACTTTACTCTGAGTTGATTATATCCCTTATTATTCTATTTCCCTTAGACAATCCTATGTAAGCACACTTCTGCTTTTGACAACACTCTTCTAAATTCATAAATCCAACAACTGACATGTGACCCTGTTGTTGTGAAAAGTGATAAAGTCCCAGTCTTTCTCGAAGATGCTCAAAGATTTCCCTTGAATCAGCAGAGCCTCTTTGTCCATCTCTGATCGTTCGCAGATGTTCATCAGTCCTTCTTTTTGTGTAGGACAACAACTTCCTACCATCTCTGAGGATAAATGATGCTTGCTGCAGTTATCAGCCAGGCAGGAAGGCAACCATGGAAGGCTTTGCAGCCTCTGTTTAAATACATTTAGAGAGGTGTCAACACGACAGAAGGGGAATGCTGGTGTGTTCAAGTGTAAGTTCTGTTACAACTTTTGTTATTTGCACAATAATGACCAGAAATAATTAAGAAAATAAAATCTGTTGATTCCCAATTTTTTTCTGTTTTTTTCTTATTGTACCACAAATAGGCGTGCCATCTTTGTCTAAGGTCCTGGCCTTCCAGTGTTAGTATTCTTGGTTTATTTAAAAATATCCAGTCTTTAAGCCAATCTAAAACACTGGACTCATAATATAGTTTGAGATCTGGTAGGCCCAATCCCCCTCTACTCTTGTCATCTACCAAATTAGTATATTTTATTCTGGCCTTCTTGCCCCTCCAAATACATTTTATAATCTCTGAATACCATTTTTTTTAAATTCCCATATTTCTTATTATCGGGAGGTTTTGGAAGCTATACAGTAGTTTTGGTAATATATTCATTTTTATTTCTGAGATTCTACCTTTTTTTGTCATGTCAGGAGTGACTTGAGAAACAGCAAGTCACTTCTGGTGTGAGAGGATTGGCCGTCTGCAAGGACGTTGCCCAGGGGACACCCAGGTTTTTTTTGATGTTTTATTATCCTTGTGGGAGGCTTCTCTCATGTTCCCGCATGAGGAGCTGGAGCTGATAAAGGGAGCTCATCCGCGCTCTCCCCGGATTCGAACCTGCGACCTGTCGGTCTTCAGTTCTGCTGGAACAGGGGTTTAACCCACTGCGCCACCGGGGGCTCCAATCTGTTGATAAAATATAATAACATCTCATCAGCTATAGCAGAAACTACACAATAATCTTTTATATAGTAGAGAGTATATTAAACAAATATTTCTATATCATATTTATATTCAAAATCTTATAAGGGGTTGGTTTAAGCTGTGGTCACTAGTTAAACTGAATAACCATGTTGTGAATGGATGAATGTCTAAAAAGAGTGTCACCAACATAAAAAGTTTGGAAAGTTCTGTTTTAGGGTGTCTCTCTGGGGTCAAATAATACTGTTATTTCCAGTGTGAATTCTAGGTCTATGTAGATTTCAACTCTCAGAGAAGGTCTTTCCACACTCCATGCATTTCTAGTTTCTCCCTAGTGTGGGTCCTTTGATGGGAACATAGACTTGAATTACGAGTGAAGCTTTGTCCACACTCCAGACATTTATAGGGTTTCTCCCCAGTGTGAGTAATGTAGACTTGAATTATCAGTTAAGCTCTTTCCACACTCCAGGTATTTTTAGGGTTTCTCCCTAGTGTGAGTCCTTTGATGCACACACAGACTTGAATTATTAGTGAAGCTCTGTGCACACTCCAGGCATTTCTAGCATTTCTCCCCAGTGTGAGTCCTTTCATGCAAACGTAAATTTGAACTCTGAGTGAAGCTTTGTCCACACTCCAGGCATGCATAGGGTTTCTCCCCAGCATGAGTCATTTGATGCAAGTGCAGGTGTGTATGCTGAGTGAAGCTCTGTCCACACTCCAGGCATGCATATGGTTTCTCCCCAGTATGAGTCCTTTCATGCAAACATAGACTTGAATTACGACTGAAGCTCTGTCCACACTCCAGGCATGCATAGGGTTTCTCCCCAGTGTGAGTCCTTTGATGCAAGTGCAGGTGTGTATGCTGAGTGAAGCTCTGTCCACACTCCAAGCATGCATAGGGTTTCTCCCCAGTGTGAGTTCTTTGATGTCTATGTAGATTTGAATGATCAGTGAAGCTCTTTCCGCACTCCAGGCATGCATAGGGTTTCTCCCCAGTGTGAGTCCTTTCATGCAAACGTAAATTGGAACTCCGAGTGAAGCTCTGTCCACACTCCAAGCATGCATAGGGTTTCTCTCCAGTGTGAGTTCTTTGATGTCTATGTAGACTTGAATTATCAGTGAAGCTCTTCCCGCACTCGAGGCATGCATAGGGTTTCTCCCCAGTGTGAGTTCTTTGATGTCTATGCAGACCTGAATTATGAGTGAAACTCTGTCCACACTCCAGGCATTTATAGGGTTTCTCCCCAGTGTGAGTCCTTTCATGCAAATGTAAATTGGAACTCTGAGTGAAGCTTTGTCCACACTCTAGGCATGCATAGGGTTTCTCCCCAGTGTGAGTTCTTTGATGTCTATGTAAACTTGAATTATCAGTGAAGCTCTTTCCGCACTCCAGGCATGCATAGGGTTTCTCCCCAGTGTGAGTCCTTTGATGTAAGCGTAAATCTGAACTCTGAGTAAATCTCTGTCCACACTCCAGGCATGCATAGGGTTTCTCCCCAGTGTGAGTCCTTTCGTGCAAATGTAAATTGGAACTCTGAGTGAAGCTTTGTCCACACTCCAGGCATGCATAGGGTTTCTCCCCAGTGTGAGTCCTTTCATGCAAACGTAAATTGGAACTCTGAGTGAAGCTTTGCCCACACTCTAGGCATGCATAGGGTTTCTCCCCAGTGTGAGTTCTTTGATGTGTATGTAGACTTGAATTATCAGTGAAGCTCTTTCCGCACTCCAGGCATGCATAAGGTTTCTCCCCAGTGTGAGTTCTTTGATGTCTACGTAGACTTGAATTATCAGTGAAGCTCTTCCCGCACTCCAGGCATTTATAGGGTTTCTCCCCAGTATGAGTCCTTTCATGCAAACGTAGTCCTGAATTATGAGTGAAACTCTGTCCACACTCCAGGCATTCATAGGGTTTCTCTCCAGTGTGAGTCCTTTGATGCGAGCGCAGGTTTGCATGCTGAGTGAAGCTCTGTCCACACTCCAGGCATACATAGGGCTTCTCCCCAGTGTGAGTTCTTTGATGTTTACGTAGATATCCACTCTCAGTGAAGCTCTTTCCACACTCCAGGCATTTATAGGGTTTCTCCCCAGTGTGAGTCCTTTGATGTGATCGTAAATTTCCACTCTGAGTGAAGCTCTGTCCACACTCCAGACATGCATAGGGTTTTTCCCCAGTGTGTGTCCTTTGATGTGATCGTAGACTTCCACTCTCAGTGAAGCTCTGTCCACACTCCAGGCATGCATAGGGTTTCTCCCCAGTGTGAGTCCTTTGATGCAAGAGTAAATTTGAACTCTGGGTGAAGCTTTGTCCACACTCCAGGCATTTATAGGGTTTGTCCCCAGTGTGAGTCCTTTGATGCGAACGTAGATTTGAATTATGAGTGAAATTCTTTCCACACTCTAGACATTTATAGGGTTTCTCCCCAGTGTGAGTCCTTTGATGCGAACGTAGATTTGAATTATGAGTGAAATTTTTTCCACACTCTAGGCATGCATAGGATTTCTTCCCAGTGTGAGTCCTTTGATGCACTTGTAGACCTGAATTATCAGTGAAGCTTTTTCCACCCTCCATACATTTATATGGTTTCTCTCCAGTGTGAATCTTTTGATGTCTATGTAGATTTGAACTATGAGTTCAGACACTCCAGACACTTAAATCAGCACCATGAGATTGTTTCTTCCTTCTTCCTATATTACTGGTTTTCTTACTGCACCCAAAAGTTGGTTCCCTAGAATCCTCATTTCCCTGGTGAAGAAAGAAGCAAAAGATCAGTGATGAAAGCCAGAAACCTTCTTTACCTGCAAGATTTTCCCCCTTTCCTTTCATGGGTCATATTGAAAATGGGAATACCAAGAAATGCAGACATCAGAGTCTCAAGCACATACACAGATGCCAACAAAGGCAATCATTGATTCTTAAACAAGAAGGGAAAGAATCCAGAAAGAAAAAGGAAAGGAAAGAATGGAGAATTAAAAGAATGAATGATAGAAGGAAAATGGGGACTCCTAATATTTATCTCCCTTTGGCAAGTTAAAGCAGGATATAATAATAATAATAGTAATAATAATAATAATAATAATAATAATAATAATAATAATAATAAAAATAATATTAATAAACCACCCTCTCCCCCCGAGGGGAAACAGGGTGGTTTCCAGGAAATAATAAAAATGGCATTCAATGCCAAGAACAGCTGCATAGCAATAAAGATGTAAACAAGGAATAAAATGATCTCACTATAACTTATAAAACCAACCAAAAATTATCCGAGAATTAAACTAAGTAAACATAATGTAACACAACGAATCATACAAATTAAACACAATACATTAAAATAAATAGTATACCATGTCCAGCGGGCTGAGGTAGATCAATGCGAGGAAATATGTGAAAGGATATTAATCCTCTGCCTTTCCATAAGCTAGATTGCATAGGTAGGTTTTTAAAACCTTTTTAAAGGAGGAAAGAGGGGGCATTTATACAGTATGCTAAAGGAGCTTCCAGTTTCTTTAAAAAATTTCATGATTTTCATATTTCAAATTGGTAGAAATCTTATCCATTTGTGCATAATCCCACAGTTAATCTTTCAATTTTTAATGCTTAATATTTTTCACCATCCAATTGTCACAAAAATTTAATGTGCAGTTTTTATAAATGTGAATTTAATAATGATGTGTGGGGAAGAATGGAAGAGGATTGTATGGATGGAGCTAATAATTTGGGAAGCACCAGTAAAATATCAAGGCCTGCAATGACTAACTACCTGCTTGCTGGACTGTAATTAAAAGTAAGCTGTGATAAGAACTTGGACAGAAATGTTTGCACCATTCCTTATGTTAAGAAGGAAGTCAAAACAAGCCTCGTGTTTGTCAATCCCAATCATGAAAATCAACATCTGAGATGGATCCAGGGTGGAAGACGTCTATCATTCATTTACAACTTTGGGATGACATCAGCAGAATATTTCTATAAAAGACTCCATCTAACAATGCTCAAAGTGTGGCAGACCTGAGGAGTCTGTTCCACCCGCTATGCTCTGCTCCATGGGAAGGAGAGAGATAGTGTACCATGGAGTGGCAGATTTGCAAGGGAGCAGTCTGGTCACTTTGGGGCTTCTTTCTCAAGGGAAGAGGAAGAAGTGCTCTTTTGGAGTCTTGGATTTTTCTGCAGGGAGTCAGGTTCGGTCAGCCTCACGTCAATACCGGGCAAGATTCTGGAAAAGATTGTTAAGGAAGCGGTCTGCAAACACTTAGAAACAAATGCAGTCATCGCTAATAGTCAACATGGATTTATCAAAAACAAGTCATGCCAGACTAATCTGATCTCTTTCTTCGATAGAGCTACAAGCTGGGTAGATGCGGGGAATGCCGTGGTTGTAGCGTACCTGGATTTCAGTAAGGCCTTCGACAAGGTCCCCCATGACCTTCTGGCAAGGAAACTAGTCCAATGTGGGCTAGGCAAAACTACGGTGAGGTGGATCTGTAATTGGTTAAATGGACGAACCCAGAGGGTGCTCACCAATGCTTCCTCTTCATCTTGGAAAGAAGTGACAAGTGGAGTACCGCAGGGTTCCGTCCTGGGCCCGGTCCTGTTCAACATCTTTATTAATGACTTAGATGAAGGGCTAGAAGGCATGATCATCAAGTTTGCAGACAACACCAAATTGGGAGGGATAGCCAATAGTCCAGAGGACAGGAGCAGAATTCAAAACGATCTTGACAGATTAGAGAGATGGGCCAAAACTAACAAAATGAAGTTCAACAGTGACAAATGCAAGATACTCCACTTTGGCAGAAAAAATGAAATGCAAAGATACAGAATGGGGGATGCCTGGCTTGAGAGCAGTACGTGTGAAAAAGATCTTGGAGTCCTTCTGGACAACAAGTTAAACATGAGCCAACAATGTGATGTGGCGGCAAAAAAAGCCAATGGGATTTTGGCCTGCATCAATAGGAGCATAGTGTCTAGATCTAGGGAAGTCATGCTACCCCTCTATTCTGCTTTGGTTAGACCACACCTGGAATATTGTGTCCAATTCTGGGCACCACAATTCAAGAGAGATATTGACAAAGCTGGAATGTGTCCAGAGGAGGGCGACTAAAATGATCAAGGGTCTGGAGAACAAGCCCTATGAGGAGCGGCTTAAGGAGCTGGGCATGTTTAGCCTGAAGAAGAGGCTGAGAGGAGATATGATAGCCATGTATAAATATGTGAGAGGAAGCCACAGGGAGGAGGGAGCAAGCTTGTTTTTTGCTTCCTTGGAGACTAGGACGTGGAACAATGGCTTCAAACTACAAGAGAGGAGACTCCATCTGAACATTAGGAAGAACTTCCTGACTGTGAGAGCCGTTCAGCAGTGGAACTCTCTGCCCCGGAGTGTGGTGGAGGCTCCTTCTTTGGAAGCTTTTAAACAGAGGCTGGAAGGCCATTTGTCAGGGGTGATTTGAATGCAATATTCCTGCTTCTTGGCAGGGGGTTGGACTGGATGGCCCATGAGGTCTCTTCCAACTCTTTGATTCTATGATTCTACTGTATGGAAAACAGCATTGTTCTTAGGGAAGAAGTTTTGGCATTTTGCGTTTTGAAGTTATGTAAGTTATGGAACTATGCATTGGCAGGCTGCAAGGAAAGCTGGGTCTGGCCTAATAGGTGTGCTTCTCCAAGGAGGGAGAAAATGATATGGTAATATTTGAATGCCTGAGGATGAATGTGTGTACATGTGGTGTGGATGTTGAGTGAAAATGTAATTCCCCTTTGTTTGTTTGTTTGTTTGTTAGCCATGTAATTGTGAACCCAATGTAGTTGCATAGAATCTGTATGTCTGTATGTCCAATGTCACTCGTCAGTGTTTTCTGTAACCTGATATACCTTCTCACACTGGAAATTGCAATAAAAAGAACCTATGCTTTAAAGTTATTGAAAAGTCATTCATGACACAATCTTTGGCAATTGTAATCCGTGCGTCCACGAAGCTATACAGGCAGATTTCTCACTCCGGCTGCTCTAATCTATCTCTGAATATTCCTAATAGGCACATCGGATGTTGTTTTTTTTACTTTGTTGTGGATCATGTTGTTTGTTTCCTTTATGATTCTTTTCCAGTAGACCTGCATCAATTCACAAGACCACCACACGTGGAAAAAAAGTCCCTTTCTTAATTTTGCATCTCCAACAGGTTCCTGATTGTGAGTTATCTCTTTTGGCCAGGAGAGCTGGAGATATATAACATCTTATATAAGTTGTCCCTAATTGAAGTTGTCCCTAATTGAAGTTGCCATTGTAAGTCTGAAGCCTTTGTTCCACAGGTTTCCCCAAATGTCGAAATCTATACTTCTCCCTAGATCTTTTGCCCATGAAATCATGGAGGTGTTCATGAGACTGTCTTCCAATTTGTAACATAGGATATATTTGTACAATCTGGCTATTAGACTTTCCCCTCTTTATCTGGTATAATTTTCAGTTCCCCCTTTTGAACCTTTCGTATAATTGGTGATAGTGGAACCAGTATTTGACGCCCAGTTCATCTTTCCCCCTCAACATCCTGATGAGGAATTCCCCGTATGTTCCAACATCATCCTTAGAGGTGGGTCTCGCAAGAGCTCCCTTTGTTCTCGGCCACAGGGGTGTTCTTGTTTCCATACCTAACTTGTACCTATTCCAGTCGTCTATTAGGCTTCTTCTAGGCAAGCCCCCACTCAAGCAAGAGGTGGTCTCGCAAGAGCCCCCTTTGTTCTTGGCCACAGGGGTGTTCTTGGTTCCATACCTAACTTGTACCTATTCCAGACATCTATTATGCTTCTTCTAGGCAAGCCCCCACCCAAGCAACCACTAAGAAAGATCTAAAAACTGGCCATTGAGCCTGATGAGTATTTCCCCGTATGTCCTGACATCATCCTTAGAGGTGGGTCTAGCAAGAGCTCCTCTTGGTCTCACCCACAGGGGTGTTCTTGGTTCCACACCTAACTTCCACCTGTTCCAGTGGTCTATTAAGCTTCTGCTAATTATGTTTATTAAAAGCCTTATTTAATCTCTCTCCTTCATACCATAGATATGCATGCCACCCGTATCTTATTCCGTGTCCTTCTAAGTTAAGTAGGTTTGTATTCTTGAATTGTATCCAGTCTCTGATCCAGCTCATGCAGGCAGCTTCTTAGGATGTTTTTAGGTCTGATAACTTTAGTCCCCCCTCTCTTCGGTATCATAGAATCATAGACTCATTGATTTGGAAGAGACCTCATGGGCCATCCAGTCCAACCCCATTCTGCCAAGCAGCAGGAAAATCACATTCAAAGCACCCCCAACGGATGGCCATCCAGTCTCTGTTTAAAAGCCTCCAAAGAAGGAGACTCCACCACACTCCGGGGCAGAGAGTTCCACTGCTGAACAGCTCTCTCACACACTCAGGAAGTTCTTCCTAATTTTCAGATGGAATCTCCTTTCCTGTGGTTTGAAGCGAGTGTTCCTCGTCCTAGTCTCCAGGGCAGCAGAAAACAAGCTTGCTCCCCCCCTTCCTATGACCTCCCCTCACATATTTATACTTGGCCATCATATTTCAGGTTATATGGCTGAGTGGAAGGGACCTGGGAGAGACAGAGAGATAGAGAGACCCAGTTCAAGATGCAGGATTAAAGGCAGTTTGGGAAATTGAGACAAGGAAGGGGGGAAGGAGGGAGGGCGGGCGGGGAGAGGCCTTGGTGAAGCAATTGGCAGGATCTGTTTTGGGGGAAGATGGCCAAAATGCTACT